CCCCAAAACCCCAAAACCCCAAAACCCCTTAAAAAAGATTTAGATGTTTGATAAAAATAGATAGAAATAAATAGATTAATTCATTTTCCTAATAAAAGCTTAGGATTATCATCATACTTGAATATTGAGCATGATTTATCCCAACTTGCAGTTGCAATTTACCTTTCAACAAATAGATTAAAATCTAATCCAACAACGAATTCAGTGTGATGATCAAATCTATTAATGGGTCTCTAAGTATTACAATCCCAAATCAATACACTCATATCACTAATAAATATATAAAATGACATAATTGCTCTTACTATGAAGCACTTGCTAATAAATTAGCATGATATGGAGAAAATTTAATTCTTCTAACAGCCAATTAATGTCCTTTTAATTCCATAATTGGAGATTCAAGAGTAGATCTCAAGTCCTATTTTGAAATTAATTAGCTTCAAATTATGTTACCCATAATCTTATAGATCCATCAGTTGAGGATGATGCTATAAAGTTCTCATATTTATTGAAATCTATAGACAAGACCTCATTTGAATGAGCCATGATTTTCTTTACATCTTTACCTGATCTAATGTCCCAAACTCTAATAGTCTAGTCTCCACTACAAGAACCAAATATACTCTCATGAGTTGGATGCCATATTGCGGCATAGACTCCGAATTCATGGTTGAATGTTGCCTAACTTCCAGTGACCATATTAATGTCCCAAAGTTTAATTGTTCTATCATAAGCTGCAGTCAAAAATTTGCGTTTATTTATATGGTTCCAGTCACATCCAAATACCTATTACGTATGCTCTTTAAAGTTTCTAATGGGAGAATTATTAATCAAATCCCAAAGTCTAACATTTCCATCATCACCAACGCTCAAAATCTAGAAAATATCTGAGCAATTAATATATTTCTTACCTGGTTTTGATTGCCCTCATTGAAACATACGTCATATACTGCCTCAGGAGTTTACCATTCTCTTACTGTCACTGTATCAGTCTCATTGATCTATGATTCAGAGATATTTAGACATAAATTATGATTACTTATACTAGTTGTACTGCACCTGCTCCAACGATACCAAAATATTAGGCTTATGCCAAGGCAAGTTTGTTTGATTCAAAGGGACTAAACCTAACTGAATAATTGCATATTTTTCCTCTGTGTACTTTTGGTATAAGTGCAGTTCTATTATTGTTCATTTTGCTTAATTTATTATAATTTCTAAATCAACCCAATCTAAATTTTTCTTATGGCTGGGGTTTTGGGGTTTTGGGG